GATAAACTGTTCAAATCACACCTACATACGAATTTTTATGGGCACGATAAGGAATTGTCCTCACTTAACACACCATCATTTAAGCTCTTGTTTCAGACATTCCAGAAGGCAATGAGAGGACAATTCAAAGTTGGATACTTAAATATTTCACTGAAAAAGCTATCAAAAGTATAAGGTCTTCCGTTGTAAGCCTATATTTTTGTACTTAATAGCGTGATACTGTACCATATACATTGTCTTCATATGTAAATTAAATAAATATCGTTTGCATTTGTATTCAAATCAAATTTCCAAGTGTCTTTCACACATCAGCATTGTTGAGGGTTCAATTCAATTAAATATCACACATGTAGGTATGTTTTAGGATTAGAAACTGTATCCAAGGACGTCTGGTATTGATTTAATACATGTATTATCATATTTGTGAAGTGTAGGTGCAATTTATACTTGTCCGTGTATTTACGCGTGTTGCACGTGTGTGTGTGTGTGCATTTGTGCGAATATGAAATCCTTTTTTTTCCAATGCTGTATGGAATGTTGCTATGTCTAATAATTGCTGGAAAATACACAATGAAAAGGATTAACCAAGTCGGTTTTCTTTCTGTGGTGGCACGACAGTGATTAAATGTTCTGTGAAAATGAGCCGAGAATATATGCAACCAAATTTTAGACGTAATGCGTGCCTGTAAATATGCATATGTGAGATTCTTATTTGGAAAATGTGTGTTTATGTTATATTTTTTCCATTTTTACAGTTAAAATTCTATGTCAGTGTTAAAACTGTATATAGTGACATGCAGATCATTTCACATATCGAACCGTGATAAATTTTGCTTTAATTGTCATTATCATTAAGATGACTAAAATAGATTTTAGAATCCAAAGTTCTTTTTTAAATATATTTTATTAATTCTTAATCTTTTTTAAATAAAAACCAAACAACATGATCATGTTGGGTTCAAGACATTTTGTGAACAGGAATTAAGCTCATCACATGTAAAATATAGAAAAGTAGGCATGACCTCTTGTGTAGACTTTGGCGTCAGATATAGGTATGTACAAATGTAGGATGTGTCTCCCCTGTCTCCACACACTATCTGTGTAGTATGTCCTTACCAACTCTTGTGTAATAGTCAGGCTCTCGACATCCTTAGAGTATGTAGGCAAGTCTTCTCCATCCCTAAAGTATGTAGCCAAGTCTTCTCCATCCATAGAGTATGTAGCCAAGTCTTCTCCATCCTTAGAGTATGTAGCCAAGTCTTCACCATCCCTAAAGTATGTAGCCAAGTCCTCTCCATCCCTAAAGTATGTAGCCAAGTCCTCTCCATCCCTAAAGTATGTAGCCAAGTCCTCTCCATCCCTTGAGTATGAAGCCCTTTGATCAACTTCCTGTGTGAAGCCCTTTCCATACCTTGGGTATGTAGCCCTCTGACAAACTTCCTGTGTGTGGTCCTCTCCATCCCTTGAGTAAGTAGCCCTCTGACCAACTTCCTGTGTGTGGTCCTCTCCATCCCTTGAGTAAGTAGCCCTCTGACCAACTTCCTGTGTGTGGTCCTCTCCATCCCATGGTATTCATATCCGCCCTTGATTATGGAGTCCTCGTCCACCATCGTATATGTAATTCGTTTACCTCGATGAAGTAGCCCTTGCCCATTATAGTGTTAACGCTTGTAAGCATCTTCCACCCTCGTGTATGTATCTCTCGCCCACTATATTGTTAACGTTTGTAAGCCTCGTCCGCCCTCGTGTATGTATCCCTCGTCTACTATAGTGTTAACGTTTGTAAACCTCGTCCGCCCTCGTGTATGTATCCCTCGTCTACTATAGTGTTAACCTTTGTAAGCCTCGTCCACTATAGTGTTAACATTTATAAGCCTCGTCCGTCCTCTTGTATGTATCCGTCGCTCTCTATAGTGTTAACCTTTGTAAGTCTCGTCCACCCTCGTGTGTGTATCCCTCGTGCAATATAGTGGTAACGCTCTTGTTAATGATGTCCTGGATTGATCCCTGTCTGAAAATTAAATTACGGAATTGAATAGAGTTTTATAAATTGTGTCTCTTGGAGAGTCGGATTTTAGAGACCCTCAGTTTCAAACAGGGAGATAAGCCAGTGTAAAAACTTAGGGGCTTGAAGCCGATCATATGTACTCTTGCCCACCCTAATTTTATGTTTCCCCGTCCTTTCGCAAGGCCCACCGTCAGACATGAGAAATGTGACATATGTTCTGACTCGGAAGTGAAATCTGATGTGGATATTAACGCGTGTTTCTCGGTGAGAATCCAGCCAATCAGTGACGCGAAACTCCTCCATCCCCTCCCTCTCATCCAGCCGCTGAAACATTGGTATCATTGTTGTCTGTGTCTACTACGATTCCTGCTGTTTCTAAAAGGTAAGCCGTTTTAGATATTATACATACACCATTGATTAAAATTGATCATTAGTATTAAAACACTAATTCATAAAGTATTTAAATTCAAATTGCGTTTCTGAATTACCTTTATTATTTGTGCTGACACTTTGCCGTAGGCGCAATGACGATATTTTCTTATAAATTCCGCGGGAGGGGATAAAGTTATATTTTAACGGTCAATTATACATTTCCAGTCACTTTTTCTCTTGAAATTTTAAACTATGAAAATTATTTTTAAGTAAAACATACCGTTGAAGAGTTCTATAAATTAAGAAGGATGATTTTGTCAACAAGACTACTAATGTTGATTAAACAGCTAGAAGTTACTACTTTAACAAACTACAATCGACGTGATCTTGAATTCATGGGCATTGTTAGGATAGCTTTTTTTAAAAGTACACCTTCAGATCTTAATGTTTAACTGCCCATGAGAGGAATTATATATAATAACAATACCATTGAGTATCAAATGCGTCATGTAACATGCCAAAACCTAACTTTTATGTAAAAGAATGGCGTGCTATGCGTTTTAATGAAGTTTTAAAATCATTCTTCATGATAACGCATTCATATTCTTAAGGTAGAAAATGTATTAAATTTTAATACTTAATCTTAATACTGACTTGGTCCTAATTTAATCGTTTATTTTTTTCTTTCTGAGGTTGAATTACATCCCACCGAAAATAAACAATATATACTAACAAATGCCATTTTCCTATATAAATCATACTGTTAGTTATCCCCTCTCTAAGGGCAACGAGACGTGGGGTGATACAACTTGCAATTTTGATAAACCACATGGAGACCTTTCTCTCTATGAGGAGTTTGATTTTCAAGTTTAACAGTATCTTGGTATGAGAAGATATACGCAAATTTCGCCCTTTAATCACCACCTTTTTGGCCTGTTGGGTTTGAAATCATACAATTTACAAGTTTACTTTATCATTGCCCACGAAACATTTATGCAAATTTAATTTAAATCGCTGCAAACTTTCAAGAAATCAGAAATGTGAAAATGTTAACAGGCGACATTACGCTGGACAAAGATGGATCAGAAAATTCACGAAACTTCGGCCATGTCACCTAAAATGAAGACATGCTAACGAATGAAATATTTGGTCAAATGAAAACAAAAGAACAAATGTCATTTTAGCAAAAGTCTTCTTTCCAATTAACTGATGTTTGCGATAGATAGCTCAGGAAAACATTCGGATTTTGTATTTTATTCATTTATGTTTTCAATTTGTTTTCTCACTCTGAAAATAACAATTCATATGTCAGGGGTGGAAATTGAAGTCGGAGCATGTAAGCAAGTACAACACAAAAAGAGATTTGATTAAAAAAAATAGGATTTGAAAGGATTAAAGATTTCCCTCCCCTCCACAACAATTTTTTTCTAAAGTAAACATCCATTGAGTGTTTTCTCGTCATGTTCAGGAAAAGAAGCTAAAATACACACTGAAACTAATTTATTTGAACATGTCATTCACAATGAAAGATATCGGGAAGAGGGGGTAGGGCGGGGATGGCAGGGCAAGCCCCATTTTCCGGGAAATGTTCTCGTTAAGTACTCTCGGTCTCGGTACCATGTGACACAGAGCGTATTAAAATGATGTTAACGAAATGGTCATAACTTATGTTGTGTAAACATAAATCACAGAAAGAAATAACACGTGTCTCTTTCCTTGCAACTCCTCTTCTAACCAGCTTCCTGACCTATATCAGGCGACCTAAAAGGCCGATCATTGGGGACAGAAAGACAAAGATCGTGATCTGAATATCTGGTATTATTGGTTCATATATCAGGTATCCTGATATAACAGGGGAGAAACATGAATCGTTCAAAAAAGAGGACACAAAATTCTGACCGGAACAACGTACAATATATACAAACTATAACGCAAATATATCATTCATATCTCTAAAATTCGGGCGTCATGCTCATTAACATTCCCCCATGTATCGCTTGTAAACGGATAATTTGTTAACCGCCTGTAAAGTAACAAAATGACTCAATACAAGCTCGACTAAAGTTAAATTTAACTGGAAAATCTATAGCGTGTTTCATATATGTCAGGTTCTTGCTACTAAAGTGACGAAACAAAATGTATTTAGTGGACATTTGGAAAGAATGCTAGACTTTATCCAGTAAAGTTTAGATCCGGAAAAAACTATATTGTACATTTGTTACATGATGACCATTAGAACTTTGTGTATGGTCCGTTCATTTAAACCCAATTCATGGTTCACATAAGCCGGCTTATTCGACGACGCACGGTTGGATATTGACATTTTAACGTTTGAAAATGAGGCTGGCAATTTTTGTACTAGTTGGCGGCTACTTCATTCAACAACGTACAGAAGGCCCGTCGCATGCTGTCCAGAACAATTTGAGTTGAGTGTCTCGTCCAAAGATACAACTACGTCAGTATATACCTTTTAAACAATATGATAATACATCATTTTCCTGTAGTGTTTCCAACAACCATTGAGTTGTTCATAACTTTGTTAAAAAGGTTTCGATGGTGTAAACATTTGACAAGTGCTATTTAATCGTCATTGTATTCCTCACAGACATATGTAACAAAGATGGACCAAGCGGTTAAGAAGACAGGTAGCCATGCATCATTACGGGACAAGTCCGTCACTCGTGTGAGCGGACGAAAGCTGTTACGGACGCCAAAATGTGCCCGCTGTCGGAACCATGGAGTGGTGTCCTGTCTGAAAGGCCACAAGCGGTTCTGTAGGTGGCGCGACTGTCAATGTCCTAATTGTCTCCTGGTGGTGGAACGCCAACGCGTGATGGCAGCTCAAGTGGCACTCAGGAGGTACCTCTATATTAAATGTTATATCTAAGATCAACAACATTTGCAGTTTTTAAATGACGATGAAGCAATGTCATCGACTTGACAGAAAACTTCGGTAATATTTTATAACTTCTTCGTGGTTAGTTATTATAAATCACCAATGTACCCTCTATAATGCACGGTAGCGTCGCAGTTATGGTGGGTGCGCAAATTTATCACCGCAGTAATATGTTACAAAATGAAAATCCACTTATACTGAATTGAGCCAGTAGTATATAATAAATGTCATTTTAGTGATGTTTGGACAAATTTTGATTGGTTAAACTGATGATTTACTTTGTACCAAACATGTTGATATCAATTACATTTTGTATAACTAGTCACCCCCTTGTTGCGGTACAGAAAGCAGGTTTCTTTCACTGTCTGTTTACCGAGCATGCGCCATGCACGGCCTTTCGCTGGGTTTAATCAGCAGATATCGTGCGATCTACATAATTTCACTTGTTCGGTTTACACATACCACCCTCTACAAATAAATATCGCCAAATTTCCAAAAGTCGCGGCTAATGTTTCACGGCCCAAGTTTACAATAAAGAAAATCATATGCACGTGATAGCCGAGGACCACCGTACTGTTGCCGGTCTGTTTTCTATACACGCCGCGCCGGAACGTCAACAAAAATAAATACAATACATCAGAGTATCGCTCGTTCTGTCTTTCGCTTTTACAAAAAACATGAAAAATAACACAAGCTTTAAATCAAGGAAGTATTATATCTAAAAGAATTTATGTGTTTAAGAATACACATCTAGCTACATTATTATCTTTGGTATATTTAAAATCTGTCACGGAATTATCACCTCGTTCCCATGCACGGAGTTAATGCCTTGATACAGGCTATCAATTTAATGTCTGTTTACACTTACATTACGTTTCAATCAATATTGCTCCGTGCGTCCGGTCCGGTGTTTAGATTTGATCAGTAACGAATTAGAAGTAAGGAGATACCGACGTGGATAATCCTCGCCATATTGCATGCCGCTCGGGCAATAATCCACCCTAACAGGTGCGCGTGTCATGCACGGCGGGTCGAAAATTAAGCCTATTTTACCGAAAATTAATTCTGAAATAGAGTTACTTTTACTGATCAATGTCCTTTCATAATATCGCATTTCTTATCGCATTTATTTCCAGTTAAAGGAAATGAATGTCAACATGACACAAGATAGCAGATAGTCACAGAGATCTAGAACACATTCAGCATTGGCAACAACGTTGGCACGAATTTGTTAAACTGAAAAATGAAGTGAAAGTTGGGAGTATGTAAGGGAGCGTTTTCAGAAAAGAAAACTCATCGTAGTATATCACTGAATGGGTCCGCAATAAACATATACCATCACACATAAATCTCCAAACCATTCCATCTATATATCTAATTGTTTATTTCCTATATACCCGTTCTTTGTCGGATACGATATCATCACATAATTCGCTTATTAGGTCACTGTTAAAACTGTCTGAGTTATGTGATAAAAAGTATCTTGTATTGGTATCATATGATATTTTATGAGTGTCTCCAAGTTTTGAGCTTTGCTCGCCTTGGATCCTATAGTTACGCAATCTCCCAGACTACGTTTAACATAAACGTACTAATTTCATTCTTGCTAGACATGGAGTTTACAGTGTGTACTTGTGTTTTGTTTCTTCCTTGCTAGACATGGAACTTATTGTCTGTTGCTGCGTTTTGTTTCGTCCTCGCTAGACATGGAACACATATTCTGTACCTGTTTTATTTCGTCCTTCCTAGACATGGAACCTGTAGTCAGTACTTGTTTTATTTCGTCCTTCCTAGACATGGAACATATATTCTGTACTTGTGTTTTGGTTTCGTCCTTCCTAGACATGGAAGCTGTAGTCAGTACTTGTTTTATTTCGTCCTTCCTAGACATGGAACATATATTCTGTACTTGTGTTTTGTTTCGTCCTTACCAGAGATGGAGCCTATAATCTGCGTTTTGTTTCGTCCTTGCGAGAAATTGGTCCTAGTGCTTGTACCTGTGTTTTGTTTCGTCCTTACCAGAGATGGAGCCTATAGTCTGTGTTTTGTTTCGTCCTTGCGAGAAATTGGTCCTATGGTTTGTACCTGCGTTTTGTTTCGTCCTTACCAGAGATGGAGCCTATAGTCTGTGTTTTGTTTCGTCCTTGCGAGACATTGGTCCTATGGTTTGTACTTGTGTTTTGGTTTCGTCCTTTCCAGATATGGAGCTTATAGTCTGTGTTTTGGTTTCGTCCTTGTTAGACATGGAACCATAGTCTGTAATTTTGTTTTATTTCGTCCTTCCTATACATGGAACATATATTCTGTACTTGTGTTTTGTTTCGTCCTTGCTAGACATGGAACATATTTTCTGTACTTGTGTTTTGTTTCGTCCTTACCAGACACGGAGCTTATATTCTGTACGTGTGTTTTGTTTCGTCGTTGCGAGACATTGATCCTATGGTTTGTACTTGTGCTTTGGTTTCGTCCTTTCCAGATATGGAGCTTATAGTCTGTACTTGGGTTTTGTTTCGTCCTTGCAGACATGAAGCATATAGCTGTTTTGTTTCGTCCTTGCCAGACACAAATCTGCACATTTGTTCTTGCCAAACAGTCTTACATGTACAAATATATCTTGTGTCGTCCTTTCGAGATATGAAGCCTATTTGTTGTTTTGATCTTACCAGACTCAAAGACAACCGTTTGAATTTGTATTCTGTTGTTTAGCGAAGTTGTTCGGCCTTGCCGGACACTGTTTTGTTTTTCACCAAGCCGGTTATTCACGACACAAACACTAAGTTTTCAGTTTGTAATTCAATTGTTTTTGTCCTCGACAGAAAAAGAGCTTTCATTTTGATCTCCATCTTGTAAAGTTTTATTTTCATGCCACCAACAAAATTTCTAGCTCCATTTTTGTTTTGTCTTGCCTAGCACAACGTGTTAAGTATATTCGTTTCGATGTTTTGTCTCCCCCAGACGCAAAGCTGCCCGTTTCTATTTTCATTATAAACAATCTTTCAATCTTTAACCTTCTTTTTGTTGTTTTGTCCTTGTCAGACACCAAGCCTCAGAGATGACCATCAATTTGAAGGACAAAGTCAAGACGGCAACACAAATACTCCAACAACGCAAACTGCTACAGCGCAATCTCAGAAGCCTACAACAACATTCAATGCCACGTGATGTACTTTCCAGTAAGTTTTTTGGCGCGGATTGATCTTGTTTCTAATCATTCATTTTTGTTAAAAATCTTTAAACATACATTTAAAGCATATGAGATTCAGTTTGAAACGAATTCAAATTAACGCATTTTCAATATATTTTACAGAGTACAGATGCAAACCAGCAATTTACAACTCAGAGGAAAAACACTTGCCTCCTATTTTCAATGAACGCATGCGCAAAAGAAGATGTTTTGCGGATAAAGAGCTTGAACTTGCAATGTTTGAACGTGAAAGACAAAACGAAATGTTACAAACGAAAGTAAAAGGAAGTAACTCCCTAGAAACCGGACATTCTCTAACCGGACTTGTTGGGATGGACACCTCAGAGATGACAACTGCGTCGCCTTGTGCACCACGTGATGTCTTACAGCAAGTCTTTCCCTTTCACAGCTCGAGTGTGTTAGAACTGGTCTGGCAGGGTTGTCATGGAAATCTCCAGAAAGCTATTCAACAAATCGCATGCAATGTACCACGCATCCAGTCATGTCTTTCTTCAGTTCCGGTAGCGGATATTGTTCATCGTAACATGTTTCCTTTTATCAAAGATTCCAACTATATGGGCCTAGAGCATGTGAAGGGACCGGATGTTAATGTCTCCGGTCTTTTGAACAAGTGTAAGACGAACGAAAATACAAAAAATGTGGATATACCAATTTGTGAATCAAACGACACTAAAGCGCGAGAAAAATATACAAGACACGCTAATGGTGAAGTAGTGGCAACTAAAACAGCCAGGCTCAAGTTTTCTGTTGCTGCAATTATCGGAGAATCATAACATTGTGCGCCCCTTTAGAATGTGTGCGAGTCAATGAATGAGAGTTATACTGTTTAACTCCGCCAAACAGGACAACAGTAGTACATTTACACCTCCATCACAGGAGATTTCGATAAATAATGTGTCTCCTTCATAGAAAAGTTAACACAATAATCAACATCAGTTCTTCGTCACATTTCCCTATCCTATGATTTTTCCCCTTTATTTTGTATCTATTTAATACAAATATTCTTTTTATCAGTCATGTTGTAACACTGTATCGACAAACTATTTATTTTGTATATAATTGTACAGAGGCTTTGTACAGATAACCTATTGACCTTATCAATTATCACCTAGAAACTACAACGACAGTATTGTAATATGGATCCTTATCTACATGTAGTATATGTAGAAAAAGTTGCTTGAAGTAAATGTATTTGAAGTTAAGAGAATGAAGTCAAATGAAATTAATTTGTTTCTTAATAAAATGTTTTAAGAGAATCTGTGTTCTACACGAGTTATCTCAGGAACCCAAAAATATAAAGTTCTGTAATGTAAACTATAAGAAATTAACATAAATACTGTTACATTAGAGACGCATATAACATGTGTTATATAAGTCTTTTTTGCCGTCATTCATTAACAAACTGACTGTATTCCCAAATTAGATTCGTCACTTGAATCATCAATACTTGACAACGTTTAGCCACTCTGAGGCTCAAACTGTTCAGATAAAATAACAAACTTTACTTCTAGGTCGTTTTATGATGTCGGACATGCTGATTTAAAAGAGGTGGTCGATTTAATGTACACGACCTTCATTAACACTGCTAATATAAATGTGTCCAGTGGGGAAACAACTCTAGATATTTTCATTTCTTCGGTAGTTTGCAGGTAAAAATAGTACTACCTCTATACATAATGCAATACATCGCAATTTTCTTTAATCATTGTCTAATGATTTTTTTTTCGCGAATTTTCATTACCGGTCACCTTTAAGTAAACAACGACAGCGGGTTTACCGTGTAACTGACATGTAAAAGTTCTGTACTGTAGCCTCTCTTGTTAGCCTTGTGTCATAATGAAGCTGTTTTTGACGATCTGTCGATATCGAGTTGTATGAGCTATATGAGTTGACGTTTTCCCGTGTTAACAGTTGTTTTTCTTCCCAGGTCCATTTGGGGAATGTTAGAAAGACGCGTGGCATTTGGTGGGCATACCCTTTCACATCACTGTGGATACTAAAATAACATGGCAACATTGCATGACTTAAGTAAGAAAACCAAACCTGTCCGTGGGCTAGTGAAGTATAAAAGATTAATCTCATGTCGTGGTTCATCCGTCAGTCCAGAGTCAATAATTTTCTTTAAAGTAACATCTTGATGTATTTCTAGTAGCCATGGATAACCGATTGTTTTAATTACAGCACATTTGCATGTGACCAATTACGGAAATCGGGCGCCGTAATGATCGGGTCTAAGGAACAGCTGTGTGTTGTCACTATCATGTACTATAGACCAATGATTGAGTTTCACCGCATCAACAATCAAAGAAATGGTTAAGACTCCAATTACCAAGTCATGTATTTATATGAAGCCCTCTCTGTTTAAATTAACAGCCATCCGAACATATTTTGGCAATATTTAACAGAAATCAAAGTATCATGTGTCGCTAGCATCGCCAAGATAGCCACATCACAGCTTACGATGTGCATTTTTTCAATATTTACTTTGACAATTTACATTTTCTCTCCTCTAGATAAGAAGAGCGATACGGCTTGGTGCGGCGGTATCGGTAGCATGCCATATACCTATCTGTAACGGAACCTAGTTTGATAAACGGCACGGATCACGGATCGAGTTTCCTTTATACTTCCATCCCATGTTATCATTTAAGAATTGAGATGTTCAATCTGGACTGTTATATAGCGCCGCCTTCATCGCGTAAAGCACGCGCACAAAACTACCCTTGTCACGTAAAAAGATACAACTTGATTTAGTCACAAACATGGATAGAGTTCGTATGACTGTCGATTCCCTAACCATGGATGATTAGTCATCAGTTATCAAATATGTATGATATTTACTTCTTACCCCTCCGCTAACCCATGAGGGTAGGATCCTTTACCCCCAAAGTCCGGTACATGGATACGATTAACGGGACACTCCATTCGAGATTCGCACAAATATTGTATTCACTTTAAAACAGATTTTTATTTTGACTTAGAGAAACGATCTCAGAAATAATAAATAACGTATACAAATCATTGGTTTGGTAATCAAACTTCCGCACCCCTCTTTCTGAAACCGCCATACCCACTTTTAAGAAATACCAAATCCTTAACATCTTGTACACATATTCAAAGACACAATATACATTTTACATATTTATCAAACGTTGTTTTATCAACGGAAACACCATTAAGAGTTAACTTGACAATGGCCAAGAACGCAATTGCTGTACATATCTGGAATTTCTTCAACCATCTCCATTGATAAGGATCTTTGGTAAAATATCCAAATATTCGCCCAGCCATAATGACGTCGTTAAAAATCTTACACTGTAGACCAATAGCGGTCGTGTGTGGCCATGTCAGTCAGACCTGAACAAGCGACGACAGGAATCGGTGAATTACGGCTATGATCGTGATTTATCGCCATCTATCGGCCGGAATTTGGTGTGACTGATGAAACAGTAATGTTTGTAAGGGAAATCCTGCTTTGAACTAGATACAACGGTTTTACAGACCAGTACAAAACTTTTAAATAGCTTCTTGGCAAAAAGGCGGGGCCACACAAATGGATAGTTGTACGGCATGCAGTGTATCTGACAAATAGCATGTGTTAGAAATCAAAATGAAACCATCGCCCGGGGTAGAGATACAAATGATAGCGACCTTATAGTTGTAAGATGTTGATTGAAGTGGTATTTAATTTTAAAGAAACTGACTTAATGATGTAAAATCTTTTAAAAAGAAAAACAATCAGAATTTCATTCATGAAAGGCACAAGGAGCTTTAATATCACCATTTCTATGTGTATTCATGCATAGTCTTTAAATATTTTATCAAAATTCTGTAATCGGGTATGTAAACTTAGTGTAGGCAGGGTTCATGTACAACAGTATTCATTCTTCATTTTGTTGATCTTTAACAAAGTCTGTATTTTTGCAATTAAGTGTACAACAGAAAGTTGAGGACACAACCATGGCGTTTCATTAAGTCCGTACTACATGTATATACTGACCCGATGACAAAAAGTATCATTTTATGCATTTCTAGTTAGTGTATTGGAAAATCAATAGTTATAACATGTGCATTAAAAACAGGCGTTGTATTGGCAATTATCTCCAAGTTTAGTCTTCACCAACGGACTCAAATGGAAATAATACTTTGAAGTTGGTCGAGGTTCAATTAATTAAGACTTTAAATATCGTCACTCTTCACATCATAAACGTGCATCAGTGTAAATTTTCATCTGTTTCCATGCCCAAACGACCATTTGGGATTCATAGGTCGGCCTATTAAACAAATCAATGGTACAAAACAAAGGGCGACCCTTTAAACGAATCAAGGCTTACAAAACATTGGCCGGCCCTTCAAACACACCAATGGGTACAAAACATTGGCCGGCCCTTCAAACACACCAATGGGTACAAAACATTGGCCGGCCCTTCAAACACACCAATGGGTACAAAACATTGGCCGACCCTTCAAACACACCAATGGGTACAAAACATTGGCCGACCCTTCAAACACACCAATGGGTACAAAACATTGGCCAGCCCTTCAAACACACCAATGGGTACAAAACATTGGCCAGCCCTTCAAACACACCAATGGGTACAAAACATTGGCCGACCCTTCAAACAAAACAACGAATAAAAGACATTTGCAGACCCTTCAAACAAAACAACAGAAAAGAAATTTGCAGACCCTTCAAACAAAACAACAAATACAAGACATTTGCAGACTCTTCACACAAAACAACAAATAAAAGACATTTGCAGACCCTTCAAACAAAACAACAAATAAAAGACATTTGCAGACCCACATCAAACAAACTAGTGGGTACAAAACATTGGCCGGACCTTCAAACAAAACAACAGATAAAAGACATTTTCAGACCCATTAAACAAACCAGATATTGAACACCATTTACTTTGAAGCAATAATCTAGTTCGTACACAAATCACTACTGTAACCAGAAAGTATCAACATCAACACATTTAGTCTTAGGATTTTGGTAATTAAAACATCTCACCTTTTGACCATGAAAATGTGCCCACCCTCCATTTTCAAATATGATTTCCCCTCAATCAATTCCGGGTCTCTGAAAGCAAAACAACATACAGAAAAGTAGTGTAAAACAATTTTTTGTAAAACAACAACAGTTAGTCATTTTTATCATTTCTAAATTTTCTCGACTTTTTTGTGCGGAGTGACAAAGTGTTTGCCACTCTGTGACCAAGTATTTGTACCTCCTACTTTTAACGGACACAGAAATAAACTACATATTGAAGATGCTAATGTTTGACACAACGTGTGCATGGCCAACAACCATCCTGTAGTAACCATAGCAAATGTCAGCATCATGACAAGTATGACATAAACTGGTCATGTACATTGTCAGTAAGTATGGTCAGTTTAACATAGACTGGTCGTGTACATTGTCAGCAAGTATGGTCAGTTTAACATAGACTGGTCCGTTTAACATAGACTGGTCCTGTACATTGTCAGTAAGTAGGTCAGTTTAACATAGACTGGTCCTGTACATTGTCAGTAAGTATGGTCAGTTTAACATAGACTGGTCCTGTACATTGTCAGTAAGTATAGTCAGTTTAACATAGACTGGTCCGTTTAACATAGACTGGTCCTGTACATTGTCAGTAAGTATGGTCAGTTTAACATAGACTGGTCCTGTACATTGTCAGTAAGTATGGTCAGTTTAACATAGACTGGTCCTGTACATTGTCAGTAAGTATGGTCAGTTTAACATAGACTGGTCCTGTACATTGTC